GCGGGGGGGGCCCCCAAAGGTGGGGTTTAACCTTTTTTTTTTTTTAATCATATCCTTGCTAAAACCCCCGACATTAGGTTTTTTTTTTTTTTTTGAATTTTCGAGTTTCTACCAGGCAAATGCTTACTTGATCCATTTTTGTTGGAGGTTTAAAATGGTTATTTACAGTCGGTTTTGGCAAAGGAAGATGGGCTTCGAGGGTGGCCATGGATTTTTTCACCAGAAATCATTCTAGTGGACACCAGTCCAACTTTGATGCAGCCATTCACGGCACACCAAAATCATTATTAGCGCGATTCAATCTCCAACTCGAGTCAGGTAGTCCTGGCAGGATTAACATACACAAACAACTAAACTTAAAATGTACTGTGTCTTCGATAATAGCAAAAACCGATCATATCCAACTAAAGTTTTCAAAGAAGTTTAAACATCAAATTTAAGGGGGCTGTTGCCCTTTTAACGGTACAGCTTAAAGGATAAAGATCCCCCAGTTTAGCATCCCAACATTGACCAAGAAGAGAATAATCAATATGGCCTGAAGCGCATAGGACGCCTGAACCTAGGAACCCTCCTGCACAAACAAGAGTTCGAATCAGAATTTTCGGAAAAGTGAACCACGAACTTGGAAGATGCTATTCTAATTTTGATCCAAGAAAGACCAAAGTGAATCAATTCCATGGGCAATGAGATGAAAATGAAATTTCATGGCAAGTAAATAACTCAATGATCTTCAGCAATGGACAAAAATAAAGCAAATAGGGGTGCTGACTAAGAGAATCAAAATTACATATGTAAAGATATTTGTATCGAGGAAAGCTAAAACTGATATCAAGCAATGTAGAAAATGGCTGGAAATACCGATGAAAGTGACACGTTACAAAGGAAAATTTCTTATTGCTTTCAATTAGATAAAAAGGCTGCATCATATAGAGTGCGGCACCATGCACCCAAAATATGGGGGAAAACGGCCAAGAAGAGAAGTCGTAGTTTTGAAAACATAGCAAAACCCAACATGATATCATAATATTCTAACATAAACAAACAGAAGTAGAGGGTAAAGAAACTCAGATTATATGATAGATAACCCAAGCCTCAAAATGTAAAGAATGCATTTCTCATCATTTCATCATTACGAGACATAAAGCAATTCCAGGGCTTACCCATAACCATATGGAGCATAGACAGGTGGACCGCCCATGAATGGCCTTCTCGTCCCGAAATATGGGTTGGGACGTCTTCCTCGATATTGCCTCATTCCAGGAACATTAGTCCGCTTAGCAGATACCTGTAGAAACCAAAATGTATCAACATGTCAGGTGTTGCAAACATCCACCAACCTCTAAGTTCAGAGAAAAATAAATTCGAGGACCTTCAGTTGACGGCCATGCAACTCTGATTCACTCAGAAGTACAGCATTTTGAACAGCCTCGATTTCCACAAACTCTACGTAAGCAAAACCTTTGGGTTGACCATACTTATCTGTCAAAATAGTCACCCTGTTTACCGTTCCACAGGACTGAAAATGCTGCTGCACCTCCTCAGGCGTGCATGCATAGTCCACCTGAATTGGAAAAAGAACATTACCGATGACAACAATTACTTGAGCAGGCCAACCAAATTAACAAGTGCACGTTTTCACGACGCAGAGAGAGAGAGAGAGAGAGCACAAAAGTATGCTTCTTGGTACCGTGGAAAAAACACAATAAACGGCATGGTGAGAACCTATATATTGATTCCAAATACAAGATTACACCTCTTGAACGATCCTTACTTTTCCTTATCAAAAATAAAATTTTAAGCGGGGTATGGTAGACAAGTGCAATGTTGGATACATGTATTTTCTTTTTTGACACATTCCCACAGAAAGTTTTTGTACGTGTATCATGATAACAACAAACATAAAAGTTTTTATTTTTACCTTGAATAAAAGTTTTTGTATTCTATTCTGAATTATATAGAAGTTATCATAAACCTTTACCTTGAATGCAATGTGGGCCTTATGTAAAGTACTTACCAATGGAATAATTCTAGTTGTACAAAAATCATACAGAAGTTTCACATGGAACATGAGACCTACTGGTACCATGTGGAATAAAATAGTGCTCAAAAATGACCACCTCCTTGTCACGTGTGTAGTCTGTAAAGTTTTTGTACGTGTAGTAGCTCTCCAATGACATTGATGAAAGATTCACAAATTTGTATTCCCACAGAAAGTTACAGTTTCCAAAAGAAAAAGAAAGCATTAGCAACCTTATTTTGAAACTTTACATTTAGCAGGCACAGGAGATAATATAGCCCTTGTTTGAGCCACATTATTGGAATGAAAATGCATTTTTGAATGGTATATTGATGGAAAATGTGTGGTTAAAAAATAAGGAAATATTTTGGATTTGCGTGTAATATTATTTTATTAAAGAATGTGTAGTTGAAATGACGTCAAATCACTATTGAAAAATGTATTTTTTTTCAAATAATGTTGGCTCAAACAAGGCCATAGTACGGAATATGTCCTACATTTAATAAATTTTACTTCAAATAACATATCTATAAATGATGACAATAATCACAATAGATTAGAAAATGTTAGAATTCAGTGTAGAACTGTCTTGAAAAAAATGATTTACAGGGTTTCGGCCTTCCTCTACAAATAAGGAAAATTGGAGAAAATATTAACTTCAAGAACAGCAAGAGCCATATATTTTCTTTCTAAGTGTTAATAAAGTATATCGTGTGAAAGGAAAATATCTTTGAATTGTTCCTTGCTAAAATCAAAGAGTGATCAAGGATCCATAGTTCCTGGGTCTTCTAACCCAGCTCCTTTTGTACCTCTGCATGATCTCAACTTGATAAGAATGCAGAAGCAAATGACAGAATGAGAAGTAAGATTTTTCATGTCATGGATAGAGATCTCTTTGTTGTTTTCATACGCAATATAATATCTTTATTACGAATGCAACGTAGATTGGTTGTGATGGAATTGGCTGGGCACAATGAGGTGGTCCGTAGAAAGCAAAGATATTAGAAGGGGTATAAGAACTAAAAAAGAGCGTGAGTGAAAGTGAATTTCGCAAATTTACATAGTCAATATCATGATAACAACAAACAACACACACAGAAATTCAAATTGATATACATTATAAGATCATATACCTAGCTATTAGATATCTCTTATCTTCTCAACTAGTGCTGGCTCCACACCATTCTACATCTCATATTATTGTTACACGTCTGTGATAGTGAATTAAAGTAACTAATATGTTGGGAAATCACATTAACAAGAAAACACCAGCAGCACAAAAGAGTAATATCCCACTCAACCATTCAAGAGGCAGATTTGACACATTAAGACCCACTTGGGACAGTTATTACTAGGCTAGAAACTGTAGTACATGTATGGCTCCAAAAGCTACCAGACGACTTGTGGTGGAGCAGTAAAGCAGTAAATCCAGAGTTACAAATATAAGACATCAAAAGGTTCTGTGACCTGTTGTACATTGAACTGCATTTTTGTCTAGGAAATGCAGTTCCTACCATCCTTTCTTGCGGCAAAGCTAGTTGTTATCAGAGAGAAAAGGGGGGCAGCAAATGCATGAAGCAAAAGTATAATAAACAGATATCATTTCCTGACCAGTAATATTAGCAAACTATATTTGCATACTGATGTTGTGCCTAGGTCTCCTTTCCAAAGACCTGAACATTAAATAATGTTTTACTCGAGTAAAATTAAAGATTATTTATTTCCAGGTAATATGACTTCTTGCATAATGAAATCAAACCACTGCAAGAGCAAAATGTCAAAATCTGCATCCAATCACAGGGAACAACATAAGTAGATATAGAAAAAGAACTCACATTACCGACATATATTGAACGAGAGTCCGCCTCCTCCTTTTCAGCCTGAGCAGCAGAGGAGCCGGCTGAATCTTCTAACATGTCCCCAAAAGAGAAACATTTAATTGTGAATCACTAGTTTTATGGCATTCAAAATAAATTGTAACTGAAGCACCGTATATAACAAAATTAGAAAGTTGAAAGAATTATTTATTAATCGACTGCAAAATAGGCAATTTAACATCCACACGTAACTATACATTACCTCAAAAAAGGGTAAAAGGGCATGTAAAGCTCAATAGATTTCTTTCATGCCCAGATCATTCTAAAATTCTAATTGACTGCAAAATAGGTAATTTAACATCCACAAGCAACCTCCAAAAATGGTAAAAAAAAAGCTTAAGCTCAATAGATTTTTTTCATGCCCAGAATCCTTCTAAAATTCTAAAATTTAAGATCTAGGGTCTTCCCTTTTCTATTTCTTTCCTACTGTTCTGACATCGGGGTTGGTTTCATCTGATGATAGATTTCTTCATGAAATTGATAACGAAAAATTTTGCCCAAATTAAAAATAAAATTAAAAGGGAACAGATATATAAGCATACTTTTGAATGTTGAGTTGCACCATGAAAATGATCGATATTGAGCCTTCATGATTTCTTCTCACATGGCATTGGTAATCCACTCTATCAGGTAATTTATAAATGAAATGTTTTGAAGATAAAAAATGCGAGAGCAAAATTTGAGTAGGATTGTAATCAGATTTTCAGTAACGTTAATTAAATGAATCCAACTCAGATTTCTTTATTCAACATTTTTGGTGTGATTTTGGGATCAGTTACAATTCAAATGGGTCCATCTAGTGGACTATTAGCCATCTAGAATGAAATTTGAATTGGATTCGAGTAAAATTATCATGAAAAAAAAACCTAATTTAACTAATCCAACTCAGATTCCACTCTCACGTTCTCATATCTACAATATCTTACAATATTATAAGCATTTTATATATAAATTGCCCAGTAAATAGAATGACACTTATCTTATAAAGCTAAAATTATGAACTTGAGAAGGCAACAAGTCGAGAACAAGCAATATTGTTATGATATGGGGGTTGATTTCATCTTATGATTGATTTCTTTATGAAATTGGATATGGTAAATTCCAATTTTGAATCTTCATGACTTGTTGCCTTCTTACATTTACAACTTTTAACTTTAAGTTCTACTCTATAAGGCAATTTATAAATCTTTATAAACAAGGTGCTTATAATGATAGAACGTATAATAGTTATGAAAAGCAAAAGTAAAATCATAGTTTGGTTGTTCAAATAAAATTTTCTATTACAATAATTTTACTCGAATTCAATTCAGATTTCACTCTAACGAGCTAAAAGACCACAAGATGAACGTACTCGAATTGTAATTGTCATGACAAAGAATAAAAAATATCAAATTATGATTTTATCTTTGCTCACCCTTACAACATTAATCACCTATCTACTTAATATTTGTAATGTGGGTCCTACTACACTTTGTATTGCTTCTCAAACCTCATACTAGGAATTTTTAGAAAATAATTCATGGTATAATTTAACAATTTTTTCTTTGATTCCTCATACCATTATGCCAACAACATATCCATTTCATACTTATAATGTAAATTCTCCTATATTTTTTATTGTTTCTTAACAAAGATCGCTTACTATGAACTTTGTCAAATAATTCATAAGACAACTCATTTTCACACCATCAAACGTTACAATTAGATATTTATCTGTTTGAGCATTTTTGAGATCAGTTACAAATTATATTGATTGATGAAGCACGGATGCGCTATCTCATGAATTATTTTTCAAATGTTCCTAGTATGGGGTGTTTGTTGAGAAGTAATACAAAGTGTAACATAGCCACATTATGAGTGTGACAATGGCGTAAAGGAGAGAAGATAAACCAGTAATGTTAATACATTTTATTCAACTGTTTGGCATGGTTTTGAGATAGTTCCAGTTCGAATAGGTTGATCTACTGGCCAGCAAGAGCTTGACAGTCTAGCTCAAATTTCATTCTCGCGTTCTCATATCTACAATATCATTCAACTGGTAAGCATCTTATTTAATTACCTTATAAAGTTGACCCTTTTATTTAATTTTTTATGTGAGATTTATAGCCAACCACTTTTCCTATATATATATGCAGACATGAGGGCAAGCTTCCCTGTCCATGTAATGGTGTGAGAGAGCAAAGATTAAACCATCAAAATTATACTTATTAAGTTGTTTGGTATGCTTTTGAGATTGACTACTCTTTGCAAATTATTGCGATAAACACTAGCCAATATCCACTAGATAGACTCGTTAAAATTGTAATCGATTTTAAAAGCAAACCAAACAACTTTGTAACTAGATGACCTACTATAACTGTAACTCATCTCAAAACACACAAACAATTTAATGAAAACTGTATGACTTCAAAGTTTAATCTTCGCTCCCGCACACTATTATTCTAACAATTCTACTTCACTAGTGCAAACTACCTGCTTCTATGGAAGAGGTTGACGTTCTACCACCCAGAGGTCATATAGATCAAAATCCGGAGCTTGAATCCTACTATGCCTTTTAGTGCTTCTCAACAAATAGATCATACTATGAACACTTGGCAAATAATTTACAAGACATCTCCTCTCCTCTCCACTCCATCAGGCAAGGACGGACCCACATGGGGTCAGTAAACCTCACAGAATTTTCAGACATTTTTTTTTTAAAAAAAATTAAAGTTATCCAAAGATTCCAAACGTCCCAAGTCCAATTAAACATAAGCCCATTTGCTAATTTGCACTCAAGCCCATTTATTTAGCTTAAACTCCCAATCCATTCCTATTTCCTCCATCTGATTTGGGAACCGATAAATGCATTTCTAACTCATCAATAGCCCTAAAATTTAAATCCCACGCAACCACACTGACGACGTCGAAGAGAGAATCGTCTATGGACTATGGTGATTCGCTGATTCATCACTCATATTTTCCGATTTTGCTCTTCTAGGTAATAAATCGACACCCTCTTCTTCACTTCTTGTGCAATGAATCGGATGATAGGAATCTTCTTTACCCAGATTTGGATATTCGCTCTGTGTTTGCTAATTTTTATAGTTCAAATTTCCAACAATATTCATTGTTTTTAATGGTGACGATATTTTGTAAAAAACAATATTGTTGAGATCAGAAGATTACATGGAGTTGAGTTCAAATCTCACTAAATTTATGAGCAATGTTTTGCTTATAGATTAGCATTTAATTTTCTTACTTTATGTAGGTTTTGTTACTTTTGTAGTAGTTGATTAATTATTGATTGAATTTTCTATACATTCAATTATAAGAACTACAAAATCATTGCTTTACATTGGGGAAAAAAACGTTCATTAATGTATGGGAAATATAAGCAAATAACTATTCAAATAAAGTAATTTACGATGAAATTTCAGTTTCAAATGCGAGCTTCATAAGAATTAGAAAGAGGCTTCATAGTTCATTCATTAATTTGACATTTCATATATTTGTTAGTTAATAATGACTGAGACTTTCTATATTAATGAATTTCAACAAAATACAGCATATGATTAAAAATAAATGAGTTTCAAACCTAGAAGGTAAAATATTAATTGAAGAAATTTATTTATTGAAGTGACTAGCGGGTGAAGTGAAATAATTTATTTCTCTCAATGTCTAGGATAGAAGAGTGTGATAAAATAATGTTCATAGTTATTCTTATAATCTTATTCATATTTAAATTAAGTTGATTAAATTATGAAAATATTTTAGTTTTAACTTCCACTTGTGACTTGTACATTTTAGTTGGCAGCTGGCAGCCTGATTGCGGAGTGGAGATATAAACTGCTTGATGAAAAGAGATTAGTATCAATTTCAAGTTTAGACATCATTCTCAATTTCAATTTTCAAGTAAGTAATGACTTTCTCTAACTTGATGAAATAGGCTTGTTCATGAAATTAATTGTTGTATATTATGATTTATAAATTTCGTGTTGCCCTTCGATGAAAAACGAAATATGATATTAATAAATTTGTGTATTGAATTTGATTTTATAACAGTTATGGAGAAATATTTTAAATGAAAATCCGTATTTTCAAGTGAAGAGCAAAATGTAGTTGAAGCGAGTGTTCAAGATAAAATAGATGACCGAGAAGAAACAAATATTGGGGGTAAAATAGATGTTCAAGACAAAATTGATTTAGCACAACTTCCTTCAGATCCCGGATTAAGAACTCCAATTGTGAATTACAATGTTAATGTCCGGGATGAAATTCGAAGAGCATATGTACAAAGGGGTTCATATTAGCCTCGAAATCATAAGTATCCACAAAAAGAATTTGGAGATTCGTCCTTAAGGCAATTTAAATCTTCCTGGTTTAATGACTTTCCTGATTGGTTGGAATATAGTATAGAAAAAGATGCTCTATTTTGTTTTTATTGTTATCTTTTCAAATCAAATAGTGAAGAACATGGTGGTGGTGATGCTTTTGTTGATGGAGGGTTTTCAAATTGGAAAAAGAAAGGACGGCTTCGAACTCATGTTGGAAAAAGTAGCAGTGCACACAATCAAGCACGGATTAAGTATGAGGCTTTTGTGAATCAAAAACAAAATATTGATAGTGTTCTCTTTAAAAAGTCGAAGAGAACAAAAGATGAGTACCGAGTTCATTTGAATGCAACAATTGATTGTGTTCAATTACTTTTACGACAAGGGCTTTCATTTAGTGGAAATGATGAATCTGAATATTCAAGAAATCAAGGGAATTTTCTTAAACTGTTGAAGTGGTTATGTGATCATAATAATAAGATTAAGGCTTCTTGTTTGAAAAATACTCCTGAAAATCTTCAATTGACATCACCTAGTATTCAAAAGGATATTGTGAGTGCTATTGCATTTGAAACACTTGATGTTATTATGAAAGATATTGGTGATGAGTTGTTTTCTATTCTTCTTGATAAATCTCGTGATGTGTCAGTGAAGGAGCAGATGTCAATTGTTTTACGTTATGTGAATAAGAAAGGACAAGTAATGGAACGTTTCATAGGTTTTGAACATGTGTCTAGTACTACGGCTCTCTCACTTAAGGATGCCATTGAACACTTATTCTCTAGATTTAACTTAAGAATATCTAGTTTAAGAGGTCAAGACTATGATGGGGCAAGTAATATGCGAGGTGAGTATAATAGTCTTAAAGCACATATTTTGAAAGGAAATCTGAATGCTTTCTATATTCATTGTTTTGCTCATCAGCTGCAACTAGCTCTTGTATCTGTGGCAAACAAACATGCAGAGATTGAAACGTTCTTTACTCTAGTGAATAAAGTGGTGAATGTTGTTGGAGGATCGACTAAGCGGTGTGATCTTCTTCGAGAGAAGAATCAAGTTGTTGAATCATTGAATCTTGGTGAAATCTCAAGTGGAAAGGGACTTAATCAATCTTCAACGACCCGGTGATACTCGTTGGGGCTCTCACTATAGTTCTTTACTTAGCTTGATTCTCATGTTTTTTGCTACAGTAGATGTCATTGAGATGATTGTCACTGATGAAACTAGTTTTGGACAGAGAGGTGAAGCTCATATTCTATTGGGATTTATGTTGACATTTGATTTTGTATTCAGTCTGCATCTCATGAAAAAAGTATTGGGTATTTCGGATGAGTTGTCAAAATCATTATAAAGAGGAGATCAAGGCATTGTTAATGCTATGAAATTGGTGAAAATATGTAAAGAACGACTCCAAACAACGAGGGACAATGAATGGGACTCATTTTTACAAATAGTTACTTGTTTCTGCGAAAGGCACAACATTGATGTTCCTAACATGGATGATATGTTTATATCTCTAGGTCACTCATGGCGTAACACTCAAGGAATAACAAATTTACATCATTTTCGTGTGGATTTCTTCTATGCTATCATCGATCTGCAAGTTCAAGAGTTGAATGATCGTTTCTCTGAGGCAAATAGCAACTTACTCATTTGTATTGCATGCTTACGTCCGGAAAATTCATTTTCTGCTTTCGACAATGACAAGTTACTTCAATTGTGTGAGTATTATCCCAATGATTTTAAACCAGTAGAAATCTTGACACTTGGAAGAGCAGCTTCAAACATATATTATTGATATGCGCACTCACAAAGATTTTGAAGGGTTACAAAACCTTAATGATCTTGCGGAAAATTTGGTATTAACAAAAAAAAATGATGTATATCCATTGGTTTACAGGCTTGGAACATTGGCGTTAATTCTTCCAGTTGCTAATGCTACAGTAAAGAGTATTTTCTGCAATGAAGATTGTCAAGAATCGGCTACATAATCGGATGAGAGATCAATGGCTAAATGACAGTTTAGTTCCATATATTGAGAATGATGTATTCGCCAATATTAATAATGATGTAATTATACAACGTTTTCATAGTATGAAAATGCGTAGACTACAGTTGTAATAGTGATTAATGATATGTTGTTTAAAAAAAAATGTATTTTGATTTTTGACCCACAATGTCGAATGTTTGGCTCCGTCCCTGTCATCAGGCATGACATTTAGTACATATATCTACATAATACATATACATTTACTACTAAAAAGCATACGGAGAGATAAGTGAAAGAAAAAAAAAATGAGGTAGAGAGGGGAAGAGACAGAGGCACAAGTAGAGAAGGCAAAGGTGGAAGAGAAATGGAGAGATAAAACATGATCTTCCCAATATGAGAGAGGTTCGAGCATTAGGGGAAACAAAAAGAACAAGAACAGAAAGTTTATAGAGCAAAAATAGAAACCAAGAGTAAATAGAAGGCATTATTAGCAGATTGCTGGGTTGAAGGAGATATGGTCTCCAAAGTTGAGGTTTCTTACTTTTTTCGCTCTATATGCATAATACTTACAGATGCATATATTTCAGGAATGGTTGATAGCATATAGTTTTTACATTTTATGTATACACCTATATTTATGCTTAATGTCAGGACTCAGGCAGATAACAAATGTGTTAAGAAAAATAAAATTGAAAGTAGATTGATTATTAAAACCTCATTAATTTCGTCTCTGTAAATGTATATCTAAGAGAGGATAATGTAAAGAAAAGTAGTATTTTCAATTCACTTTCCTAGAATATAGATCATCGTCAAGTATCATTGTTGGTTTATTGATTGGTTAGCTTCAAAATTAAATTTAGGTGGGGCCATGGTTACACATTTATTACATAGATAAATTTCCTTCCACAGACCTAGTTTCTGTAAGACCACTCAAACATAAGGTAGCTCCAATATAACCTAGAGGTCACGGACTTGAATAGAAGAAATCCCCTTGTGTGAAAAGGTAAAGCTCTGTACTTCTAACCTCCACAAACCCTACAGTAGCAGGCTCCTCGTGCACTGAAATGAAAGAAGATCTAGTTCCCATGGAAGACAAAACCACCTAGTAACAACTACGCACGGCCTACCTACAAACCATTAAGGTCCGACGGCCTTCTTTTCAGTGGCAGCTCAAGATTCTTTTCCTGATCACCCTTATATTATCATCCTTACCAGGGTGTGCCCCTGAATCCCCGGCCACCAGGGGTAGGAAAAGGGGGAGAAAGAAAAAAGGCAATTCAGAAGCATGAAAGCCTTGAGGTCATTCAATCAAATTTAGCCCTATTAATCTAAAAGACTTAAACCACAAGAATCTGCAAATATTACCAAATCAACCCAACATAGGCAATTTGGTTAAAAGGCAAACCAAGCCAAATTCCAGATTTTTTAAAACATGTCTATATATAAAATCAAATATAGGAACAAGTGCTTAGAGTGGGTAATAAAAAGACCTTGAGCCCCGCCCGTCTCTTTCTCCACCTTGGCCTGCATATCTCGCAGTGCCCCTGCTTCTTCCTCAATCTCCTGCAATCTCTTCTTCATGTCTTCCAACTCCTACAATTTAAACCCAAACAAAATCAAACACCAACACACCTACGCATATAAACATATACACAACAACACATATATATACACGCACGCACGCACAGACCCAGAAACATACCTTGGCTTTGGAGTCAGCATCGGGTTCAGCCCCAGCATCAGAATCAAAATCAGCCTCCATGTACTCTTCATCAGGTATTTCACCGTCGTACGCGGTGTCATCCCGTTCGCCCTTTTGCTCCATCTCCCTGTTTCTTTATCCGTAAGCGCTTTCTCCCTCTACGGCTGTGTATATATATGCAATTTGTGTATGCACTCTATTAAATAGGGGCAAAAGTGTCGCTGCTGAAGCAATGGAAGGGGATTCGAACTGGAAGAAGGGTAGAAGGGAACAAAAGATTGTGCACTGTTTGGCTAAGCCTAGAAAATTTATAAGTGAATGTTAGATTGAAGAATAGGGTTGAAAGCGAAAGTTGAAAATGAATAAATCATCCATATCTGTCCATAAGTAATTATTTTAATTATAAAAAAGTTAATTATTTTGTGTTAAATTAAAAGTTAGTATATATGGAAATATCAATCAACGTCACCCATTTTCAACTAGACATTTGTACGCGAGAATAATTGACATCTACATTTTTACTACATTCGATTGTGAGCACCAAAAATGGACTTCACACTTGATTGGTAAAATAGATAGAATTTGTATACTACGAGATTGTACATAGATTTTTTGAATTCATGCATGTTAATTAAGAGAGACTAATCCAAACTCAAAGTCGTTGATCCAATGGCATGTATCGATTGTATTTACCAAATGTGTTACCATGATACACATACATATATGATCGAAAAAAGGTGTAACAAGATTGTGTTATGGAGTAATATACCACTTTCTAACGATGAAATCTAACGGTAGAACACGACATAAATTATAATGAATAAGAACCCAAAATTCAAGGGCCCTAATTCGTTGGAGTGTGCATCCATCTCTTTGTTCGATTTACAAAGCTACAAATTAATTTGCTTTTTTTCTGAATTCAGCTGATTAGGGTTTGAAAAGTGAAGAAGTTTTGAGAGCAACGATGAAAACCAACCTATGACCAGTGACTAGTGATTTTCTCATGTATTCCCAAAGATTTGTCTAGTTAATGTTTCCATTTTAAGTTTTTAAAATTATGTTTTTATTATCGATAAGGTAATTTCCTGAAAATCATTGTATATATCTCTTTTTCAGTAATGTGCAACTCAATCGAATTCTACACATTAAACATATCTGGAATAAATTATTCAAAAAATTATCCATGATCACAAAGTTGCCAATTATTTCACAGAACTGGCATGATATATAAGCTAATATCGAACAATGGATAATAGATCATTTTGCAGATTTTAAGTTGTTGATCATATAAATTATTTAAATAATAGGCAGTTCGAGTAATAGTTGCGAATCTCACGAAAATGTGTAAACTAAAAATATATTATTAATCAGATTAAATTATATATCAAGCATACACTTGAGAAGGCCAAAATGACTTAGATGCTAAATCCGAGAAGGTGTGTGTTATTTGATTACAGTAATACGTTTCTGAATTTGATTTCAAGAATAAAAGGTGTTACAAATATCCATGCGTAATTATACCTGATAATGCTCTTTATTTGCCACAATTTAGTAAATATTATAAAAATTTTAACCTCAATTCATCGAAATCTAAGCAGATCAAAACTCGTATTCTTGAAACCGTGGACCAACTGGAACAAACTACGTGCAATTTGAAGCAAAAATGACACATTTATGCAACGTGGATTTGATTCTCAAGCTATTTTTCTCGGCACTCAGAGTCTCCAATTGATGACATTTTTCAATTTGGTCGCTAAAAAATCACATCAGACATACAATTTTGAAAGGTTAGAAATTATAAAAGACACAGATAAAAGAAAACGAAAATAATAATAATAATAATAATAATAATAATAATAATAATAATAAGATAGCAACCCTTCGTATCAACATACTGTTTCTCCCCACTCCCTGTATGGTTTTGCACATCTCCATCCCTAGTAAAAAATATTTAAGGCTGGAGAAAACTGGTAAAGGGAAACAAGGTGACAAATAAAATTGTTTCATTAAAAGAATGCGTGGTTGAAAAGAAAATTCAAGAAAAAATAAGTCTTGCACAATCTCTACCAAATATTTACATATTAACAGAGACCACGCTAACGAGCACATATAGCAGAAGAAGTCAGGAAGTACTCCAAACATAGGTAAATTTCAAATAACTACTACTAAAACTAGTTTCAGAAACAAACCAAAGACATCGTCAAAGTCAATAGAAAATGACTACTACTCATTACAACCTTAATCCAAACCTTGCCCGACAATCTCATACAAACCACAATAAATTCTTGTCCCAGAAAATGATCACCCACAGAAAAGGTAAATTTAAAAAGAGTACTTAGGTCACAACTAATAAAATGACAACCTTCATTGACTAGCATCATTGCTGTTCCTCAAATGGGCTTGATCTTGAAGTGTAATGAGATGAGAGAGAACACGAAACATTTCAGATCCTGCAATTATAAAACAAAAAAATGAACATGCTACATGAAAAGTGGGAGAAACCAAATGTACCACAAAATGGCAGCAATTTTATGGTGGGAAAAGAGTCGTAGCAATGATTCAGGAACACAAGGATTATGAGAACAATAACACGTACAGTTAACTGAGAAAAGTAAACAGGTTGAAACCATGGATAGGTCCAAAAGTTTGCACAGTATATAGTGGACATCAAAATTCAAACCGAAAAACTAGCGCAACTTTGCCCGTGTTTAAATCATATTCTCTGCATGGGGTATAATTGTATTAAAAACAATGTGGAAAACACGTGGCCCTATCCTTCGTGTCTCCCTTGATATTCTATGGCTTTAATTCTAATAAAGTTGTCAATCTCTTAGGATTTTCTTTGTTGAAAAGCAATATCAAAATAACTTCTTATTTAGTTCTTTTTTAAATTACGTTTGCGAAGA